ATGTCCTAATGGTGCTGTAATTGCTGTGACATGTTTCCCACCCATGACTCAAGGGCTGCTATAGCTTGAGGGCTTGAATGCTGGAAAACCCCCTTTTTATTAGAGAGCAAAGCGACACCTAAACATCAACCTCCTGTTCTTGTCAGGCCTCTCTTCCTGTGAGTTTGTGTGTTGGTCATATGACAGAATGAAGGTCCAATGATGTGACAGTACCACTGTGGCTTCCCAATCGGCAAGCTAGTCATTTTAATAGGTAAGTACCCATTTGAAAAAGCCCCCCCCTCTTTAAAAACCTTACCAAAAAAAAAGGACCTGATTATCTCATCACTCCGCTGTAAAGTTGCACATGCAACTTGACGTAAAAACAAGCTTGTTTCTGGAAAAGCGGCAAATTGTCACGCTACTGAAACAAGTTATGTAGTGACGTCACTAATTATAGTAAGCAACTCCCCAATACTGGATAGCAACACGTTCAATCCTTTCATTCAACACTCACTGGACTGTACATTATAACCTCCTGACCGCATACACAGTCGGCTGATATCCAGTCAAACAGCAGTTGATCAAATACGACCGAGATCTCAAGAGGACTTCATGTCATGTTGAGCAAGAGGGCTTCAGAGGTCTTCACAGACATATATTATATTATCATGAAGGGCAGAAACCTGCCACTTCCTGTGCGGAACCAAGCATTTAATCGCAGATGTATCATGACAGTCACCTGCGACCCCATAAAAGGCACTTGGGTGGAAACAAGACAGGGTCTTTTTAACCCAATACTCTTCAATTCCATCTCTCTGACAGGACGACAAAGCCTGTAATGGACCGATAAGCACACAAAAACACGATCTTCTCACACAAAATCCAACCGGAGGACCGAGGGACAGGCCCGAACCGTCAGGCCAGACAATGCCATGACGGTTGGGTGTGGGCCGCGTGTGAATGAATAAATGGAGAGGTGTGGGACGGTGCGATTAAGGCCAGGTTAATGACTGGTTAAGCTGAGTGGATAAATGGCGTGGATGGGAAACAGAATGTGCAGTAATTACACAGAGCTGCAAGCCTGGCTTTCTGCCACTGCCTCATTCACTGTCCAGGTGCAGGTGTGTGTGTGTG